CCACAAAAAAGTGAGCATGATCATATAATGCATAGAATGGTGAGCATAGATAAAGAGATAGTACCACATGTCTGCAAATTGCTAAAAAATCAAAATATTTTCATCACTGTCACTGTCCTCCCGTTGTTCATCACTTTGCTCGAGCGGGCCCAGTAACGTCTCCAATTTGAGACTCGTTGTTACTGTGTTTGGCATGCTGAATACGTCAAGAGTGGCTTGCCAGGCTTTGCCATGCAGGCGAGATACTCTCGGTAGCTTGCTGGGCTCTCCGAGAGGGGTGGAGGAATTGAACACTGCTTGGCAGGCCGGTTGCATTCAAGGCAAATGCTCTACCACTGTGCTATCGCTCCAGCTCCGAAATATTCTCATGCCAAGAAAAATATTGTAGCTATGTACTGTCATGAATATTATTAATTTATTAGAAGCATTTAGCAACATATACAAATATTCAGTCATTATGTGGCACACTGGAATTTATGTTTTACCATCATTAATATTTAATAAAATATTTGTTCTTTTAGGGTTTCTCCTGGAATTGCCCAGGTTTTAGTCCAGCTCTGTTCCAGGGGTCACTCCTGGCAGAGGGCCATATGTGGTTATGGGATTGAATTGAGTTGGCATATTGCAAGTCAAGCACTTTGCCTCCTAGATTGTCTCTCAGGCCCAACGCCCTGCCACAGAGGCAGGGTAGGATAGGGGGGTGGGGGGTGGGAGGGATTCTGGGATTAGTGGTGGAGGAGAATAGGCACTGGTGGAGGGATGGGTACTTGATCATTGTATAACTGAAAACCAAGCACAAAAATTTGTAAATCTACAACTGTGCCTTATGGTGTTTCACTAATAAAATTAAAAAAATAATAGATACAGGAAACTGAAGTTCTGGGTATTTAATATGCCTAGAATCATAAGACTGTCAAGGTCAGCATGGAAACTTAAACACAGATCTGAATAAACAGTGTGCCTTTCCTTCTGTAATCTAGAATGTTCTCTACGTTGCAGGTAGGCCTTTTTGATTTGCCTCTGTGATCTAGATATAATACCTGAATAGTTAAAGAAGGTCAAAGGAGAAATGGCTTCACAAAGGGAGCGGGGGGACAGCAAAATACTATCTTTCAGGCTTCTCCCTATTCTTCTCAAACTTAGCATTCAATTATTATTTATTGGATAATTAAATGCATAAAAATTCAGGTGAAAAAAAATGCATGTGAAAGTCACCAAAAAAGGGCATTAATTAAAAAGGAAATTGAAAGGATGAAAGACAATCTAGACAAAGAAAAGTGAACAGCAAGAATTCTATAATTTAGGGTCCAAGCAAAGGAGTTACAGATTAATTGATTAAGAGAGAGAAAGAGCAATGGAATCTTAAAAGATGTGTGAAACGGCTAACACTGGACTGATCTTTATTGTGTATCTAGCTCTTCACTCCATCTGAAAGATTCACAAGAGTTGGAAGAATATATGTATTTTTGGTTTTAGGATCACATCCAGTCATGCTCCGGGTTCACTTCTAGGTCTGAGCTCAGGGATTGGTCCTGGCAGGTCTCAGATGAGGGTTCAATCCTTGCTGGGGACTGAACCTGGGTTGGCCACCCACAAGGCAAATGCCCAGCCTCCTGTGCCATCTCTCCAGTCTCAAGAGTTAGAAGACTAAGCAAAAGTCACAACCATTTACTCACTAAAGAATTTCACCATAGAAATGCAAATGTAAGATAATTCTCCTGAATATTGTTCAGATTTCAGCTACTCATTAAGAGCTACCAAAAGTGTGAGCAATTACTAAGAGATTACTAAGGGTAATTCAACCTGTAGTTGAATAAGAAACAAAGAACAAAGTTTTGCACTATGGAGTGATAAAAATAGAATGCATCAGACAGGAGTTGATTCATTATTAAGTTGAGCCATCAAAAAAGGTTATGAAGTTGTCTCCAATCACTGTTTAAAAATAGGAAAAACTCTTGATCCGTCTTACATGATGTCAGATCTATGCCTCAAATTCTTTAGATAATTTTCTTGTCTTTAATTCTTTTTTAAAAATGTATACCTTAAATTGACAATCAGATATAAATGTGAAGACCTGAAAATTTGGCAAACTTGAATCAGACCTGGTTGACTAACTTGGGTTTTAACCAGTAATTTGTAGTAAAATTCAAAACTAGATACTTCACACTTAACCTCTTTGTATGTGTGTGTATTGGTGGGTGTGTGTGTGTGTGCATGTATGTGTGCGTAACTAGACTAACACAGGTTGAGAATTTTAAAAGGTACAATTTCAAGACTTAACAAGCTGTAATAATGATCATCAGCATTTCACGTGCGTGATATGATTTAACTCTTACAAAACAGAGCTGACAATGTTTTACAAATGAGTACACAGGCACAAAGAAATTCTGCCACCTGCCAAAAATCACACAGAAAATGAATGACAAAAACAGTATTTTAACCTAAAAACCTTTAGAATTCTGAGCTAACAGTTTCTATTGTTTAATAACTTTCACTATTATTGGGAAAATGTTCTCTCCTTAACAAAACTTAAAAAGACCAACTCTATTTTGTGAATGAAATGGAGTAGACAGATTAATACTTTAACTATTTTTACAACACTAAATGTGAAGAAATGTCCCCCACACTTTATTCAGATTAAAGAAATTAATGAACATTCTACCCTAAAAAGTAATAAATGTATAACATTAATTAGACATGTAGTAGAATACTTTGTCATGAATAATCCTCATTCATTCAAAGAATATCAAAAGACAATTTCTTCCCCTTATTAGGTAAACATTTGTAAGAAAAACGTGTTCCAATTTTACAGCACAGGAAGGAAAATTTTCTGAGGCCACCATGATTAGAGGCATGCATTTTTCTTTAAAGTCTTTACTATTCACACACCAAAGAGATTACAGATATTTTAACCAAGATCACCTAAATAAAAATTTCATCAAATAATATACATTAAATAATGTATTTCAAAAAAGGGAAAAATATCATCCTTAATGATATTTTAACTCTTTAACGTAGGACTCTTTCATTCTTTTAAGCTAAAAATGCAGTTTTAGGAAACTTTGAGAAAAATGGTCCTCAAGAACTGTGGCACTGGGCATGCAAACTATGTATTGAGTAATGTACTGCCCTTACCAGACATTTGACTAAGATCTGAGTCTTAAACAAAGAGGAAAACCTTCTCCCGTTTTCCAAGTACACCCTATGGAAATAAAAGTATTTTTTTCCAATCATACATATCCAAAAGACCATATAATCTAATTTGAAAAATAAAAGCTCATTTTAAAAAAATCATATGCATAAATTCCAAAAATGAAGAACCACACAAAAGAAAGTTTATCCACCCTTTTAAGTTAAAAATAATCACAAATAAAACATTTTCCAAAGTTTTCTTTACTCTTTTTTTCTCTCTCTTTTGACCTCAGGAACTTTTCCCACACTGAGAAGAAAGAAGCATTATGCAACAAGGTGAAAATACCAGAAGTTTTCTTCTTTCAAACTCTACAAATGCAGTATTACTGTTCTTTCAGTATATTACATTTTTACCCAAAATCTGTGCAACATTATACTGTAGTATATAGAATATAAACATTTGTGTGTATCATGAATAACATTAGAAATAACATCATAATAATCAGATATACTGTATCTTCATTTTTGTTTGCATGATATTTTCCAGCTACTGGTTTCAGAAAATTACCACTGGAGTTCTCTCTTCTTCATACACAGCAGAGAGCAATTTGCAAAGTCATGCAAGGGTGAAAATGTGATTGAAATACAGGGATCTTTCTTAATGAAAAATGTTGCTGCTTTGGAAATTATGGTAAAAACTATTTCAAAACTCACTTAGATCCTTAAACCACATGACATAATAGTCTCCATTTACAAATATGCCATCAATTGTAAATTACCTGGCACCCAATATAAAAATTATTTTCCAGAGCTCTTAGGAACTGTATATATTTACATAAAATCACACTGACTTTGGGGGAATCTTCTACCAGATTTTGTTTCCTTTGAAGTGATTAAAGGTCAGCATTTTTGAAATCAAATTTAGTTTTCATTCACAAAAATTAAAAAGTTGGCAAAACCCTTTTCAAAAGGGGGCCTGTTTTTATATACTCTAAGCTTCTAAATACATATTGAGATTCCATATATGACTTACAACATAAAAAAACTGAAAAGATTTACTTGGTGTTGTTTTTACTTGCCTATAAACTCGAAACTGCACCAGATTTTCATGTGGCTAAAATATCATAGAGATTTCTGGTCAAAGAAAAATGTGAGTAGAATTCTTATATGCTTATAAAGAAAAATAAAGACCACACAGAGGAAGATACTTTTGGTTTTATAGTCTACTTAGCAATAGATTAAAAAAATGGGTTTTTCAACTTGCATATGACCAGCAAGAATACAAATGCTTTCTGAAGTCAAAATTGAGATTTTTTAAAAAAAATTTTCAACTTGCATATAACCAGCAAGAATACAAATGCTTTCTTAAGTCAAAATTGAGATTTTTTTAAAAAAACTTTTATTAGTGAAACACCATGAGGTACAGTTGTAGAATTACAAATTTTTGTGCTTGGCTTTCAGTTATACAATGATCCAGTACCCATCCCTGCACCAGTATCCATTCTCCACCACCACTAATCCCAGTATCCCTCCCACCCCCCAACCCCTATCCCACCCTGCCTCTGTGGCAGGGCACTCCCTTTTGTTCTCTCTCTCTTTTTAGGTGTTGTGGTTTGCAAAAGAGGAATTGAGTGGCAATCATGTTTGGTTTATAGTCTACTTTCAGCATGCATCTCGCATCCTGGGCGGATCTTTATTTGGTGCTCCCTTCTCTATCTGAGCTGCCTTTACCCCTAGAGTGTGCAGCTGGCCTCCAAGAGTTGAGATTTCAAGAACTGAGATTTCAAGATTTCAACCAATTCAAAACATAAACGGGTAAAGAGGAATCCTGTTAGAAGAACAGATAGATGCATTTTAGATTCTCCTACCTGGTCCATCCCAGTCATCGGTCTCAACTACTCCAGGCTGTGCTGGTTTCTCGAGCTGTGTGTCCCCATCCGATTCGGCTGTGTCCTGGGCTCCTTCATCATCACCTGCAAAATATCAGCACACAGAGTGTGGGGAGAGTCATTCAGCTGTTCCCTCGGACACTAAGATCTCTGGGTAAGCATGTTCTTAGCATATGTGCAATTTCATGTTTGTTACACAGATTGTCATTATACTATATTTCTAAAGTTCTATGATTGTATCTATTATCCTTACATATATTATGGTTTAAAAATATAGATAATCATCATGAACCCTCATTATAAAGAATTACTATAAACAATAACAAACATTTACATAAGTTTCACTTGGGGTTATTCATCTATATAAAAACACACAAAAAAAGCAGCATGCAACTTCTGTAGTATCTTCAACAAAGAAAACCTTAATTTGCTTATTTTTAAATGTAAGAGGGAGCCGAAAAAAATTCAATGGCATAAGCAAAAACTATTTATTGTTCAGGCTGAATTAAAATTATGTTGATAATTTTTCTTTCCCAGTAACCCCACCTTATGGTGCCTAAAACTTGGTTGTGCTTCTTTTTTAATGGGCATAAAAATTTCATAATTAAATCATTAACATATGGGATGAGCCAATGATTCAAGTATGCACAATGCAAGAAGCTATAACTCTAGGGATTGCCTTGAGTAAGTGGAGGCAGTCTGCACACTTCTCTGTCTTCATTTCCAAAATAAGATAAAACAGGCAATATGCTTGGAACAAAAGTACAACTATGACAATGAAGGGGAAATAGTAACAAGACAATCAAATCTTAAAGTCAAGCTAATTCATGAATACCCTTCTTTTAACTGATAATCAAATGTGTGCTGCTTTAATGTAACTTGTGAAAATATGAAATAAACCTACTTCTGAATGGCAAAAGAATTAGAAAACATAACAAGAAACAGTGGTATCAAAAATCAGAATGGGGCCAAAAAGATTTTCCAGGTCTGTATGTATGCATGTACCCAATCCAAATTTGATCCCTGGCACCCCATCAGAATCCTGAATATCAGCATCTCTGGGTTCAACCCTGGAGCCCCGCAAGCACTGCCAGGGTGACCCTGCTGGTCACTGGGTCTGCAGAGAGACACAGAAGAAGAATCACATCCTCCGGCAGTAGCAGTGAACAATTGGCCTCACAGGGTCACGAAATACCCGGAGAGGCCCCCAAATCTCCTGTGCCACATTTACTCTGTAAGTAATTTAAGTATGCCAAAATCTATACTAAAAACACAGTGATTAAAATAAAGGGTGTTGGTAGGATGGTCCCAGGATGGGAGAAGCATGCTGAAAGTAGACTATAGAGCAAACATGATTGCCACTCATTCCCTCTTTTGCAAACCACAATACCCAAAAGGAGAGAGAGAACAAAAGGGAATGCCCTGCCACAGAAGCAAGGTGGGATGGGGGGGATGGGGTGTGGGAGGGATACTGGAATCCATGGTGGTGGGAAATGGGCACTGGTGGAGGGATGGGTGTTTGATCATCGTATAATTGAAACCCAAGCGCAAAAATTTGTAAGTCTACAACTGTACCTCATGGTGTCTCACTAATAAAAATTAAAATAAAATAAAATAAATATAAAAAAAAACTTTCCAAAGTAATGTAGAAAAGAAAAAAAATTGTTCAAGACACATTATCACAATGTCATTAATAGGATGTTCGTACACATTTTGAACTTAAACTCTACAAATTTTACATTCACTTCTATATGTGAATTCACAAAATATCACTTTTTAATAAGGAGAATAAAGTATGTAGAAAGCTAGCAGTAGCTCCGTGGAATTCAATTTCCTGAACAGAGAAACTTTAGCTTTGGCAGGTAACAAAGAATAAAATACAAACCCCACATCACTGAACTCCATGTTTGGATTTGAAGGCCTTTTGATTATTGCTATCTATTCCTTTCAGAAAAATCAGAATGAATAGCAATGATTTTCACTCCAGAAAATGTTACTGATTGTCTATGATAAAGAATTGTAGCAGGCATCTTAGGAAATATTTGGGAAAACACAGGCCCTTTTCAGAATTAGTAGACATCTCGTGTTTTAGAAGGAGCTAGAGAGATAGTACAGCAGGTAGGGCGGTTGCCTTGTGCACAGCAGGCCTTTCTCCCCAAGCTATTCATACTATTTCTATGATAAGTATCCAGTCTTGACTTCTACAATAATTTTCCTTGTCACTTCCTTTGAAAAAAATTGCATTTTTGACAAGTTACGTAGCGATAGCACAACAGGTAGGGCGTTTGCCTTGCACATAGCCGACATGGCCGACCGAGTTCAATTCCTCTCAGAGAGCCCAGCAAACTACCGAGAGTATCTCGCCCACATGGCAAAGCCTGGCAAAGCTACCTGTGACGTTTTCGAAATACCAAACACAGTAATAGTAACAAGTCTCACAATGTTACTGGGCCTGCTTGAGCAAATCGATGAACAACAGGAGGGCAGTGACAGTGACGTAAACATAATTTTTTTAAAAAACCTTACCATTGGGCATGGTGATAGCTCAGTAGACAAATCTTGACCAGGAATTCCAGCTGCCACAGGGAAGTGAGCAGTCTCTGGAGCACTACCACCAAATATGCGTGAGCACCATCACCGGAGTGCATGACCCCCAGCAAGCACATGTGTGAGCATGTCAACCAACTGTGTAACCTGCGACCAGCACCACAATCCAAGTGTTCCTGAGTCCTGGGGAACAGATTTGCTCTGACTGCCAAGTGTAAGACCATCAGCCAGCACCATCACTGAGTGTGTGGACCACCCCCAGCATCACAACAGAAAAGGGGGGAGGGAAGAGAAAGGGAGTTGAAAAGCTATATGCATCTTATCAATGTCATAAAAGGAAATCAGTATCAATTGCCAAAAAATAAGGAATGATTAAAAAAATAGATCAGAGAAAATAAAGATAATACCAGTAAATGCTAACCAACTATTCACTCTAAATCTCTGGTCTCAATGGCTTATCATAGAGCAATGATGAGTTGGGTCTTTAAGTCACAGGAATATAAAATTGAAATGTTCTCATTGCTACACATACAATGTAAGGACCTTAAAGTTTTCGTATCAGTTGATTCAATGCTTTTTAATAAAACAATGGGGCATGATGTAATCTTGTTTAGTGCCACCAGATATATCTGACCCAACTTGGGAAGTACAACCTTTCCAGCACTTTTGTTCATAGCGACTAGACTTACCTAAAATTTTCAGCTTAGGAGAGTGGCCTTGAAGATTGCACAGACCGACTGAACACTTAACTCAATGTTATTGTGATGCAAATATACGCTACTCTCAGCGAAGAGTACAAAATCCAAGCTATCACTTTTTATATTGATTTTCACAAAGTTTGAATAGTGGAACAGCTCAAGGGTTGAACTCTTTATATGTGAATGATACTGTACACTCCCCACTAAAGTTCCAGTACTCTCCTGCCACCAAAATGTACCATCTATTCACTTTTCCTATTTCCTTTTTCTTCTTTATCATCTGTATATGAGCATCTAGAATAAGTCCATGTTTTGGCTGTTGGAAATAATGCTGAGATAAATATCAAGGTTCACATTTTCTTTCAATCATTCATTTTCAGATATAACCTACCTCTTCCAAACACCTTTCCAATGTTATACAAATCTTGAAACAAAGAATTTAAGCACCAGAGGGTATTAGAAATCATATAACCCAAATTGGATGAATTCACTGACCAGGAAACTGTTCCACAGATGGGGATAGTATCTTCTAGCGATAGTACTTATTTTCACATTAGACACCTCTTGGAACCCTACCCATGCACCAGCAATCAGTATCTTACTGTCACCTCACCGAGGAGTTACTGGAAAATTTAGGCAAATCTCCTACCCTCAATGAGGACAGCCAGTCATGGCGTAGCATGGAGAGAAATCTTAAAGGTCACCCAAACCAGCCTCTTCTGTGAGGTCAGAAATTGAATGTGTCTCCTAATTTCTAGTTTACATTTTTTTCCAAAGCAACTGTTATTCTCATATATCCCCTGAAAGGGGGAGAAGCACACACACCTGAAACAGCTGAGCAATAATCCCAGCAATAATCCCAGTAAAGCATCAACAAGCAAGCATGAGGACATGCTGTTAAAAATTATATATCTAAGAGTTCAGGGAAGAGTCAAGTTCTGGGCAGACTGACTGACAAAATTAATTCCTACATTTCATTAGTAACTGAATCTTCCTAATGTTCAGACACACGAGTTATTAATTTCCCTGAATTTTAAGATTATGCTTTCATAGTTGGAAATGAGATACCAACTAAACTTCAATCATCAATATTTATAATGCCTCTTTTTGAAGATAAAACATGATAAAAGAATAAAGAAAGCCATATTTTTTTTACTTTTTTATTGAACAAGTCTCACAATGGAGACATTACTTGAGCAAATCAATGAATGAACAGACAGGGGATGGTGTGATGGGAGGTAACCTGGAGAACAGTGCTACAGTGCCACAGTGCTACACTGAGATAGACCCTTATAAAACTGCTCATGATTGGATTTCAGTTACACAGTGTTCCAACACCCATCCCTCCACCAGTGTACATTTCCCAGCACCACTGTCCCCTAGATTACCTCCCATCACCCTACCCCCTGTCTGTCTCTATGGCAGGTGCTTTTCTTCTCTCTCTCTCTCTCTCTCTCTCTCTCTCTCTCTCTCTCTCTCTCTCTCTCTCACACACACACACACACTCCCCCCTTTTTTGGCATTGTGGTTTGCAATATTGACATTGAAAGGTTATCAGGAAAATCCCTTTACCTACCTTTAACCCTCAGCTCTTGTCCAGCGTGATCATTCCCAGCTATTATTGTCATACTTGTCTCTTCTCTATCTTACCCACCCTCAACCCCCCACCACACACACTGTGGTCAATGGTTGGAATTAACCAAAAAGCCTTATTATTAAAAACTGTATAACTTAGTTAAGGATATAGACAAGATGCAGAATTGGTACACTGCTGGTCAAATCCTACTATCAAAGCAGTCCAGGAATAATTACAGATGAGGACATATAAACCTGGGAACT